GTGTGGTCACTACTTTTGCGAGCCTTGCGCGTTGAAGAGGTACAGGAAGGACCCCACATGCGCCGCGTGCGGGTCAGGGACGAACGGCGTCTTCAATGGTGCTTCGAGGTTAAAGAAGTTGCTGGATCGAAAGAGGGAGCGCGCAGCAAAGCGGCGGCAGGAGGCCATAGAAGCAGGGGAGGAAGTTAGTAGTGAGGAGGAGGAATAGGATGCTAGGACTCAAAGATACCACAGATCCTGTCGCGGCTGAATACCATTCGTCTCTGGGCATGCTGTCCAGTCTAAGTGAAGCTTCCATGACACTGACTCTGGTCCAAATCGCATGAGCGAGATGGCGAGGGCCACCCTCGAGATGAGAATGCCAAGCTACATGTTAGATGTTCCCTTGTTCTCCGGCTTCCGACAGCTTTGTCTAGCTAGTTTCGAGATCAAAAGCTGAGGAACACACTTCCAATGTAGTCAAAGGGCGACTCAACAGCCACCCAGGCGTGAGTTTCAGGCTACATCAGAGTCAGCCTATGCTGCAGCAAAACAGCTCGAACCAGCGCGATCCGTGCCCTTCCACCGGTTTCAATGGCTCAACTGTGTTGAGGAAGCTGTTGTCTGTCGTACCTAAGCGGATTAGTACCTACAGTACTCCGTAGGTAGCTTCCAACGGCCGATAAGATAAGCAGATCCCCCAGCACTAGCGCAGGCAGGCGGCAACCCCGCCACCATCTTCCCTGTCCAATCGTGAGACAACCCCGCCATCCATGTGATCGCCCTGAACAGCTGCCACGAGCTTGACTCCCACTCATCGACATCAGGCGGAACTACGACAAACTACATCATTCTCAGAGTCGGCGGAGGGTTAGGCTGTCTTTCTTACCCTCACCAACAACATCCTTCTCATCAGCAAGAAGGACACCACTGAAGACGATCGCATCACCACAAAGCAACTATACACTTAGAGACCATCGATACCATTCAACACACGGCGCCACCGACTCGATATACCGAAGCTTACCTATACGACACAGATCGACGTCAACGATGAATCTTCTTTATTCGACCGTCAACACACTCCGCGACCGGTACACGCCGGTATCGCACAAGTCCACCTTCCGCCAGACGGGCCAAATCACCCCCGAAGAGTTCGTCGCCGCGGGCGACTACCTCGTCTACAAGTTCCCGACCTGGTCCTGGGGCGACGCCGACGCCGACAGCCGCCGCGTCAGCTACCTGCCTCCTGGGAAGCAGTTCCTCGTCACGCGCAACGTCCCCTGCAACCGCCGACTCGACGACGACTTCGCCGGCGATGCGGGCCACGAGGAGGCCGTTGTGGAGGGCGGCAAGAGCTCCGGGACCGGCGACGACGATGAAGACGGCTGGCTTCGCACGGGCGGGCTGGCGAGCTCGCAGCCGCTCAAGGTGAAGGAGGTGCGGACGGTGGACGACTCGGGAAATGTGGGAGACCGGGAGGTTGTGGAGGATGACGATGAGATTCCGGATATGGAGGATGAAGATGACGACGAGGCCATCATCCGCGATGCAGGAGACAATGGAAAGAACAGGTACTGATCGTGTAGAGGCTTCTTCTTGAGAAGACATTGCTAACCTCTCGCGCTTTACAGCGGCCGGCGGACATACACCCTCTATATCATGTACTCAACGTATTACCGCACACCCCGCCTATACCTCTCGGGCTACTCGCCCAACGGCCAGCCGCTACCGCCGCACGCCATGATGGACGACATTGTGGGCGACTACAAGGACAAGACGGTGACGCTCGAGGACTTCCCCTTCTTCGCCAACAACATCAAGATGGCGAGCGTGCACCCGTGCAAGCACGCGTCCGTGATGAAGACGATGCTCGACCGCGCCGACGGGGCCCTGCGCATCCGGCGCGAGAAGCTGCGCGCCGGCAAGGCCGTCGGTGGGGACCAGGGCATGGAGGGACTCGTTGACGAGCTGGGCAAGCTGGATGTCAAGGATGCTCAGGCCGCTGCCGATAAGGACGGCGAGTGGGAGGAGGTTGAGCAGAGCGAGGTTGACGAGCAGGAGGTTGCGATCCGGGTGGATCAGTATCTGGTTGTTTTCCTCAAGGTATGTTCTGATGTGGGCGAAGTTTGCGAGGGTAATGATGATGCTAACTTGCTGTAGTTCATGGCCAGCGTCACGCCTGGTATCGAGCACGATTTCACAATGGGAGTATAGTCGGGCGGATCATTCATCTGCTCCTCTCTCGGTTTTGCTTTTCCTTTTTCTCATGGGAACGTTTTTGGGCAACGGGTGTGTCAGGGCGACGATGGGCTCTCTTTCCTATGTCATTGGATTACGGGGACTTAGATTATGGAACTTTGACAAATGGCGACTTACGAGAATTCAGTAGACTACAAAGTCGAGACGGTATAAGATCCGCATTATCTCTATCCAAGTCAGGGTGTGCATACACCACTCATGAGACCTATCTTTTTGATATGTGAGATTCATGACGGAATGTGTAATGAGAAGCGCGACGGGCGTTCTTTCGACCGACATCTCTATCGTTCACCCTGGTGCGTAGCAGACAAGATCTCATGTTGGAAACTTCGCCGGTGCTTCATTGAGAGAATGGTATGATTTTGGTATTCCTATGTAAATAGGATGGTACTTGCCTGACGGTAGTTCTGAGCCTTGATGGAGTGATAAGCGCCTCGCATTATTGGAATAGGCCCTTTGGCTGCCGGAGATGCGCTTGAGACTGTACTGCTTGTGCCAAACGATGCGAGACGTGGCTGGAGTTCAGGCTCGGGTAGAGCTCACTTGTGAAGGAAATTGGTTCGAGGTGAGGGAGTAGCAGGCTTAACATCAACAAGATATCCCCATTGTGCTCGCCGGATTGATGTTCTACCTATCTTTGACGCGAAAGGGGATATGTGAAGTTGTCTCGGGGGATCGGGGTGCCGCCTTCAACGGGTGTGAAATCTACCTACGAGAGACTTTTCCGACTCTTTTACCTTGCGGAACGCCAAGGATTCTTCTCTGCAGCTTCTGGGTTTTATCTGTCCATGAGGCTGAGGTGATGTAAAGGTATCTCAAGAGCATGGTATCGGCTGGAGTAGTCTGTGAGGCAATTAGCGACTAGGGAACTAGACATAAGCAAGGCAGACATGGAAGAAATTTATGGAACGCAGAAGAGTTTACACTCGAGCGTGTGATGATTTTTTTTATTTTTTTTTTGAGATGTTCTCATGGAAGTAAAGTGATGAAATCCGTACACCTGAAGGCCCCCAGTCTTTCTTTTCCGGGTTGCCGGATTTTGAGCTGTCTTGATCACTTGGAAGGTAGGGACTCCATGAGAAACACTTCCATCACGAGAGGGGTATCACTAGGCTTTGCTCCAAGGGTAGGCTGACCCGAGTATTGTAGTGCCTATCTTCGCAATATCCCCCTTTACAGTTCATATTCTGGGATTTTAGGCCAATATTGAATGGAACTCGAGCCGTTTGAACGCGAAAATGGTATAAATACAGTTCTGCCAAGTCAGATTCTAGACTACAGCAGTGTGATTGGCTTATCATGGTGATGTCGGGAGCATGATATAGTGATGGAGAGCAGCCCCACGCGATGGCATGGGGCGTGGGGCGTCTATCTTGGTACTCTCGCTTCCACAAGCCAGGAGGTGGGCGTTCAGGCTCTCTGCTCTGTCCAGCTTTAAGTGTCACTGCCCGGAGTATCTTCGATAGTTGTCAAACGACGGGGAGGTGCAGAATAGCCGCTTGGGGTTATGACTTTGCGAATCTAAGCGCAGCGGAGAGGCAGGCAGAGGAGGATGCCAAGAGATCGCGACTGAGGGCTTCTACCGGCGCGCTCCCGGTCCATTCCAATCCGAGTGTTAAGCAGTCGTACAACGAGATGGTTGGGAATGTGTAGTAGTGATAACTGCCGTCTGTTAAAGGATCGCTCCTTTCGTAATCCGAGGGAAGATTCGGAGACCCTCAAGCATTTATTACATGAATGTAGATTTTCTGATTATGTTTTCGTCAAAGGCGTGATCTTCCCCTGTGCCTTGACGGAACTCCATATCGCACCGGAAAGTGTATCTGGGCTACTGATAACCTTGTCGATATACCTATGGTCTACTTGCAAGTCAGTGGTTAGAGAAGGCTCTTTATTACGCTGCCCAAGTCTCATCATCACTATCTGAAGTATATTCCATATGCATTCATCATCGGGGAGGAGAGACACGGCTAATCTGGTCTGTACCTTAGATTTCTGTACCAGAGTCTATGAAAGAAGAATTCACGCGCTTGGGTGTTGGGATAACCAGAAGTAGCCTCCCTCCCATTCCCGTTGATCACAGATGACACTGTCGAATGTGAGTATAGAGCCAGGTCATCACTTGCCCCGGAATCCGCTGCCCAGGCGGAAACTGAATCGATCTCGAGAGTTCAGACAAATGGGTCTCGCGATTGGTCTACAATTATAAAATGATGATTGTTACAATGCCAAAGTGCGTGATTCAGATTCTCACTCCAAGGATGAACTATTATACGCCCCTCGAAACAAACACATGTTTGCTATCACAGGTTAGAACCCTTGGAAAGGAAGGAAAGAAAAACCAACGGGAGCTAGCTGAGATTCAAACGTAAGGGTATGGAAAACTGCCGAGCGTGATGCGCCAATCAACACTTCACGGCTATGGAACACGCTCGATTGCCGCGTCAACAACTTCAATGAAAGCAGAAAGGCTGCCGAATTCCTCGTGATGCAAGGTGTCATTACGAATAGAGGCAAATCGAAGTTGGGTTGCTGAATGGCCACCAAGTCGAGGCTTAATTCCAGTATGGTTGAAGATCGTTTACAATTCGGATGATATTGATATCAGCATATCAAATCTTTGACGGAGCGAAGAGACATACTGAGAAGCGTCTGAACGTGAGTCCACCTCACAGTCGCTGCAGAAGCCCGCATCTAACTCCCCTTTACCTCGTAGACTAGACAGACCTGCTCATGACGGCTTCCATTCATGTCACGCATCAAGACTCTATATAAGGAAGAGGCGATGCCCTGATAACAGGACAACCATATGCGTCGAACAGAGGGGTCAAGAAGCTCTTCGTAAAGGGGACATGACCCACGTGATAGCTTACCTTCACTAACATCCCAATGTCGTTGAGTCCTGCAACCGTGACACCTTGACGCCACTCAGATACTTCATGGTCCCGTGAACTCTCGCGACGACCACCGCATTGCCGGAATGATGTCCAAGATCCAGTCAGCGCGGTACCAACAACGACATCGTATCCAAACAATACAATGGCAACCAGCAAACACAATCGTGAGAGTGGACCTCTTGATACGTATGTACCTCGTCAGAAACTCAAACTTCCAAGCCTCGCTGTGTATTTCTTCTCGTCGAGGATAAGCTTGCAGAAAGTGATGAACAGCCATTCTTTCTATAACAACCCATCAAGTACAACGCAAACTCTTACCATCACAGCGTAAACACGAATTAAGGACCCCCCCCCCATCCGTCAAGCAACCTCATGTCCCCTCCCAGACCACACAACGTCCCTCACTCACAAAAGCTCTCGCGAGGGAAGCTATCGACCTGCCACGAAATACCAACCTACGCACAAGACACATCCATCACCGACCCGGGACCTCACTCCACTAGAGCCTGGTTCCACGCCCACCCTCCTCCACCCAGGCCGCCGGATGTCTCCCTCACGAGGCCGTAGAGAAGGAAAGGTACGGTACCCACGCTCATCGAGAAAGCCTTACATGCCACAACGACCACCAAATGCCCCTTTCTTACCCCATCACCTTGTCCCGTAACATGTTTACACACCAAATCGCACATTCAACAAAGAAAAAAACCTAAACCGCAGAGTTCATCGCCCGCAGAACGCCACGTCTAAGTTTCAACTCCCCGTCTCCGGAGAGAAACCCGCAGCGGTCCCGACTAAGAACTCTCTCAGCAGCCTTGTTGTCTGTGAATCGAGTAATCATAATAGCTTCCGCCACGAAGGAAGGTTTTGTAAAAGGTACGCCTTCGTTGTCTATACTCAACTTCGAGCATAGTAGTCTTGCCAGCTACAGCTACAACTACAAGCAGCAGCCACATACACATATATAGGCAGATTTGAAGCCTCAAGCTACGGCCCACTCTAAAGCTACACCCCCCAGACGCCATCCGCGCTCAACCTTCCTTCCAACCCCAAGATCACCGTGCGAGACAGACAGCCACCTGAATCTCTCGAAAACACAAAAAGAATCAAAAGGCGCGAGGACATGTACGACCGGAAGCCGTACTCGGATGCTGAACATGCACATCCGTCCTTCCTCCCGTCCTCAACAAACACCCGCAGCAAAAAGAAGCTCCGGCAACCGGAGTGACGTTCCCCGGTCTGCGCGTCCTCCCACCCCTCAACCGCGCACAGTCCGCGATCAGCCCGCTCGCCGCACGTTGAGCGCGGCGGCTTCCTCGCTCTCGATTCCTCCGATCGTTTTCCCTCTGACCACCTACCTTGGACCTCCGTCCGAACTACGGGGGGCACGGAGGGGGAGATCTGTTCCAGGGGACGCCCATGTAGATTCACCAGATTAAGCAGCCCATATTCGGATGAGGTATGGGACTGCTGATCTCCTCAAATCGACGTCGGACTTACCGTGCTACCTCACTCAACCAACATGCCAAAACGTGCTAGCAGCTACTTTAACCCATCGCAGTGGGTGGACTTTTTGGGTTGCCATGACTTTGGATCTACCAAAGGCTACAGGCAGATCATAACAGAAACGGACACGCAATTAAGTGTCCTTAGGCAAAGCAAACGAAAACTTAAAAATACGTTTGGCTTGGCACACTTCCCACCACCACGACGAAGAATCGTCCTGTCAAGCAATGGGAATCGCCGAACAAGCCAAGCCAAACCCCAAAAATGATGGAGTGCCCAGTTGCAGGCATATCTCAACACAAGCCCGTCTCCCAGTCGGGCTTTCCCCTCAGCTGGGCACGCCAGGGACAGGCTCGACGGACCACGAATGGTCAATGGTGGCATTTTTTGGCAGAACGCCAAGCGTCGCCCATCAAGGACTGAGCTGCTTCCTTCTCTCTGGGCATTCGATCATCGTCGGAGGGGGCCAGACTACCCACTAGGGATGCAGACGTCGCCGACTCGGGCTTGGGGTTTGGAGAACCCTTCTAGAAGATCTGGGCCCCAGGGCGATCACTCTTCGCCACATGAGAGGAGAGATAAGCTCTCGCGCTCTCTCTCGTTCGGCATGGCCACCAAAAAAAAAGGTCTGATCATGTCGGAAGCTGCAGACCAATACCCCACCTGGCGATGGCAACCTCTATGCAGATGGAAAATTCTGACGATAACGAAATCATCAAATAGCTAGTTGCACCGTGTTGGCTTTAGACGCAAAGGTTCAATATATGCCACGTCCGTGTCCGTGTGTCCGAAACCCATCGACCGAGTATTGAGCCGCAGAGCTTTGCGACGGCGGGATGGTGTACAGCATGGACAGACTGAACTGACCATCAATGCCAAAGTATCTGGTACGAATACAGCAAAGGGCCTGACTGCGAGGATGATTGGCAAATCACGAGTATTCGTACATAAACAAGGTCGTCATCCTCACCATCCTCCATAATGGTGCATACCAGCCGTGAGGGATTTTTCGAGATGCCGCATGTATGGAGAGTGTGAGAATGGCCTGTTCCCTCCCACCCATCCGGGATAGAGTTCCGGGGGGTGTGATTGCCTCCAGGACAAAGGATCGTATCGATGTATCGTGACTGTAAGCCACTTGTACCCCGCGAACCCCAGATTAATACCATCTTCCCGCCCATGTCGGGGCGTCTCGTTGACCCGAGCTGTCTTCGGAGAAGTAGACGCCTGCACAACGCGGCTGCCCGTCTGCCGTGGAACGAGGGCGCTGGACAGGACATGCCTACAGACGCGTTTGACGGTCTGCAGCTCGGAAAGCTGCGGTGAATCGCAATGGCACTTCAGGTTCAGAAACAGAAGGCAGTCGCATGAGCTTCCCCGGGATCAAGCTGGTGGAAGCTCCAATAGGTCGTTTGCATCTCCAGCTTGAGGATGCAGCAAGCATTGAAGCGAGATTTCCAGCCCCTTTTACCAGCAGCAGCGGCGGTAGCAGCTGTCGACTCACACTACATTTGCTGGCACCGCAGGGCCTAGCTAGCCCTGTCAAGCATGCCGCAAAAGACCCGAGAGGTGAATGCACCCAGTGAGGGGCTGCTGTAGACGGGGATTAGAGTGAAGCGAAGGGAAGGGCGGCGGACGAGCTCCAGGGCTCTCGGGGGCCTTTAGCTCACCGCCACTTGGCTTGGCGGGAGCCCGTTGTCGAGGGCTCGAGCGGGCGGAAGGGCAACGGGGCCAAGTTCGAGGAAGAGACCCAGAGATGGAGACTGGAGAGGCTGGTAACGATGTTGGCGGTGGTGGATTGCCAAAGGAGGAGCTTCGATTGGAGGAACAAGCCCGTTTTGACATGCTTTCCCGTACGGTGAATCCCGTCCGAAACTGATCCCACGGCGTGGCTTGGCTAGTTAGCCAGCCACGTCCCCAGCTGTCAGAAATCCCATGAGGTACTCAACCCATTCCAGCCCAGCATCGACACAGCTTCTTCGCCTCAACTAACAGACTGTGATAATATGGCAAATCTCAAGATGAGGAGACACCGCTCCCCACATTTTAGTTGAGGTATCGGTATCTGTACAAAGAGCAGTTGAATAGGGACAACTTCGAAAGGCAAAAACCCATCATTCGGACCATTGATTGTTGAGAGTCGATAATCACATTAATGACCCGGCAGATCTCCTTGGCTGTCCATTTTGAGATGAGGCGTGAACATCTTTTGCTGATTTTGACATGCCAAACTTCGTCGATACACTCCCCTGGTATCAGGTGCAGTGCTAGGTAATCCGTAAAAAAACTGCAAGGTGCGCCTTGAGCCAGCGCGAGACATGGAATAAGCCACGAACGAGACGCGTCTTCTCTACCATCGGCCAAGTCTAGACCTGCTGCTCACTGTTCCAGGTGGTATTTCAACGCGACAACCGCCTCGTATGTCTGTAGATCCGTGTCCAATCCGATGTGCGCTCCTGAGGGTATCATTTTTTGAGTTTCAGCGACGCCATCCCAACAACTTCCCATCCCCAGGGATGGGGGCAAGTTGGGGGTTGAAAGCGGCAGTTGCGAGAGACTTCTAGTTCAGCCAAGCCAACGATGTGTAGCAGGGTCAAACAAGCCGCTAGAAACATCGAGGCTCGAGCAAGGCGCCGTTGTCTTGGTATATGTCCAAATACCACACCGACGAAGACGTACTCGATGGAAGAATGGACGGAAGACAGGACGGAAGACAGCCCTCCAATATCGCGAGGTTCGTTCCTCCCGGTTCCGCCCTGGCCGTCAAACATCTTTCAACATTCAAGTCGCCCGGTTTTGCCTCTTTGAGACGTGTGCCCACCGGCGGCTCAAGCACCGCCGGCTAAGAAGCACATATCAGCCTCTGGAGCCGACTGTCGGACTGTCGGTCACTGACACAAGATTCCGGGTCTCATTTCGGAGCATCTCGGTCGCCAAGTCCTCCGCGAGGATCAGAACATGTGCTCGCTCGGGTTGGTACGGTCGACTGACAGGATCCATGATCCGTCCGTCCTCCCCTTTTCCCACAATCCACTCCTCTCCTCCGCACGGCGTAGCAGCACCAGCGCCAAGGCCTGGCTCACTTCGCTATGTGTTAAACATCTCTTTCGGGCCACCTGCAGTAGTGTAATAAGCGAGCCATTCACCGTCTCTCCTTGAGGGGTGCAGCAGTCACGACAAGCGTGGGGGAACAATACCAGTCTCGAATGTCTGCTGAAACAGGTCGTTGGCTAACAGGACTGTCATCAAGCCTTTGGAGCACACCCTCACCTCCCGTGATATGCCGCTTTGCTTGATCCCGAACCAAGCGAACAGCACTGATGGCTGGGTACGACGCGGGTGGAAGAAGTGTGATGGGTTGACAGAAGCGGTGGCAGTTAGTCAACTTGACGACTTGTGCCGCTGTTGGCGAGCCCATCTGAAGCCTGGAACACAACCTGAGGAAGAGGGGGGCAACCTGCCACATTGGCGATGATCTTTGGTCCCTCTCCCATTGCGCTGGAGTTCGTAGTGGCTGGAGGTAATTTTGGCGATTCTGCATTCTTCAACACAGAATGGTGAAGGTAGGTCAAGCTTAGTCCAGGGAAACGAGCCATGGACGAAAACAGAGTTCGGCCGACAGGATGCGAGTTTGCAGGGCGACAAGCAGCTTGGCATACGCAACATGCCTACCGCTCGACCACTAG